GCACACACATGTAAATGTACATGCAAACTCACACAAACACAGAAATGGACACATGCGGAAATACACACACAAATGCACACACTCACGCACACTCACACAGAAACGCACATGGAAACATACTTGCAAACTCACACACGCAAGCACACATGGAAACGCATACAAACTCACACACAAACACAGAAATGGACACACGCGGAAATACACACACACACACACACACACACAAATGCACACACTCACGCACACACACAGAAACGCACATGGAAACGTACACACAAACGCATACACACAGAAATGGACACACAAGCAAAGACATTCACACACATCCAACACACACACACTCGCACACGCAAACACATACACACACGCTCACGTGCACACTCTCACACAAACACACACACACATATAAACACACACCCTATTGATCATCTTAAAGGGACAGTTCACCCATAAATCATCACTCTGTCATGTTCAAACCTGTATTCTGTGGAACACAAAAGAAGAAGAGTTACTCTGTCTGTTTATTATTAATAATTAACAACAATAACTATTATTATTATTATTATTATATCACTTAAAAATATATTACTATTGTAATATAAAATCTGCACTGTAAAAAATGAGTATTTCATAACATTAATTATTAATTAAATTATATAAATATATATTAATTATTTTACTTTACACTGCAGTAGTAAAGTTACAATAGTTATGTCTCCGTATCTTCAGCTGCAAGAGTTAAACCCTCGAGCTTTTATTAGAGTGGAAAACAGCAGGGAATCCTTTAAGGTTCAGTGAGATCAGGTCTACAAACACGTCTCATTACAAATCGAGGGAAACGCTGTAATCATCATATATTCATGCGTAAATACAGTGGAAACTCCAGCATCTCCTGAGGAGCAGTGGTGCATCATGGCAAACAGAGGCGAACCTTGGACAAACGCCCGTCTGTACCTTTGCAGATCACACTTCCAGAAAACATGAGCCGACGGTGAGCCGGTCTGACGGGGGTTCCTTAAACAAACATCCCGCACTTACTGCTGGATTACCAGCTCATGTCACACGCTGACAGAACGATCACCGTACAACACATGAGCAATCAGGCCTCGGGTTTATCATCGAGGAACATGTCAGTGTTATACTAGTAGAGATGAGCTGGAGATCAGTGACGGAACCAGGACAGAGAGTCTAGAGAGATTCGGTGCTAAAAATACTGACAGAGAGAGAGAGAGAGAGGGAGAGTGTGCGGGTCTCCACAGACTGATGCTAGTCTCTGATTGGCTGCTGGAATCTCTCAGTGGGAATCGCTGGCTCTTGATTCTCATCACTCATTAGAGGACTGGACTGTTTTCAGTCTCACACACTCGCTCACTCACACACACACACACACACACACACTCGCTCACACACACACTCGCTTTATTGGGTGGTTGTTCTGCACGCTTAATAAACAAACTCCAGCTGGTCCAAAATGCAGCAGCTAGGTAGGTTTATTTAACCTACATTAAATAATGCATTTGTTGCATGCATTTTAACCATAGACTGTATAAAAACATGGACGTAGTGTCCGTGACATCACCCGTAGATTTCCGAAGAGCGTTT